AAAAAAAAAAAAAAAAAAAAAAAAAGGACAGAAGTATCCATGTGGACCTTCATCCTATCCCACCTCTTCCTGCCTGGAATGTGGCCACAGCACCCGAGAATAAAGGAGATGTCTTTTGGACATGAAAACAAAAGGTACACATGAAACAATGGCAGAGCCCAGGTCCCTGGAAGCATTTGAAAGCAAGGCTCCACAGAGAGTGGAATCATGGTCACCAGGGACAGAGTAAGGAGCGGAAGATGGGGAGAGATAAGTCAATGGGTTCAGAGTTGTAATTAGAAGCCCTGCGTAGTGGCATGCACCTGAAATCCCAGCTACTGAAGAGGCTGAAGGAGGAAGATTCCTTGAGCCCAGGAGTTTGAGGCCAGCCTGGGCAACATAGCAAGATACCATCTCAAAAAAATTTAAAATGGGCCAGGAGTGGTGGCTCATGCCTATAATCCTAGCACTTTGGGAGGCCAAGGCAGGCAGATTACCTGAGCTTAGAAGTTCAAGACCAGCCTGGGCAACATGGTGAAACCCCATATCTACAAAAAATACAAAAATTAGCCAGGCATGGTGGCATGCACCTGAGGTCTGCTTGAGTTCAGAAGGTCAGGGCTGCAGTGAGCTGAGATTGCGTCATTGCACTCCAACCTGGGTGACACAGTGTCTCAAAAAAAAAAAACAAAAACAAAATTAAAATTAATTTAAAACAAAGTTATAGTTAGATAAGAAGAATCAATTCTGGTGTTCTATTGCACAGAGAGTAAGGATGGTTAACAATAAGATATGGTATCTTACAAATTAGCTAGAAGGAAGGTTTTTAAAAGTCCTCACCACAGGTCAGGCATTGTGGCTCACGCCTGTAATCCTAGCACTTTGGGAGGCCGAGGCAGGCGGATCACGAGGTCAGAAGATGGAGCCCATCCTGGCCAACATGGTGAAACCCCATCTCTACTAAAAATACAGAAATTAGCTGGCCATGGTGGCAGGGCCTGTACTCCCAGCTGCAGGAGAATCACTTGAAGCCAGAGGTGGAGGTTGCAGTGAGCTGAGATTGCGCCACTGCATTCCAGCCTGGTGACAGAGTGAGACTGTCTCAAACAAAAAAAAAAAAACCCTCACCAGAAAGAAATGGTAAGTGCATGATGGTCAGGCTAACTACACTGATTCAATCACTATACAACATATATATCTATTGAAATATATATTGTACTCCATATTCCATATATATGTACAATTACAATGTGTTAATTAAACAGATAAAAAGCATTGTTCCAGCCATTATCTGCATACCCTTAGACTTCTAACTATACAAGAAAAATAACCCCTGTTTGGTTTTCCTGTTATTTTTGGTCAAACACATTCCTAACCTACATGATTCTACAAGATTTGGCCTGAATAAGAGGAGCTCATACAATAGGAGAAGAGCAAAACTCCCTTTTCCTCCACCAGTGCATGGTGCTAATAGGGATACGCCCTATAGTATACTTTGGAATACCAGGATCCTAAAGTTTTTCTGGACTGAGTAGGAGAGTAGAAGATGAACTGTTGCAATACCAATTACACTTAAGGGATCACTGGACATCTTTCACATAGATGCCTGCCTGGTTCCATGCCATGTTTCTTGAATAGACATGATATGTACCAGAAATTTACCTCCAGGATCTCAGGAAATGAAGATACAGAGGCATAGAAGATAGTTCAACACAGAGTTTGTGAGGCCACATCGGAGACCTCCAGAAGTTAGGTAACAGCAGGTAATTCATGCATTAGAATGAAAGAAAAACTTGGCCCCTATGGATGGCAAAATCATAAATGTTCAAGACCCTATCAATCATCCAAAACCCTTCTCAATAGGTTTTTGACTAGCTCTTCTTACTGAGTCTCAACGCTTTTCATGATTTTTCCTCTCTGGTCCCAGACTTTACTTGTGTACTTTGTGAATTATCTAGGCCAGTCCTATGATTGCTTTTATTGCACCTCTACCTAGGCTCCAAGCACACAAAGTAGGACTCTATGAAAGGAACCTGCATTTGGCTCTGTTAAGACATCAATGTAGGGAGTTACAGCAAAGACTCTTTCAACTTCTTGGACCAAATATATTCATAGTAATCAATCTATTCCTTTAAATCTGCTCCTTCTGCTGCTTCCATTACTTTTTTTTTCTTTTTTTTGAGACAGAGTTTTGCGCTATTCCCCAGGTTGGAGTGCAGTGGCACAATCTTGGCTCACTACAGCCTCTGCCTCCTGGGTTCAAGCAGTTCTCCCGCCACAGCCTCCCGAGTAGCTGGGACTACAGGTACATGCTACCATGCCTGGCTATTTTTTAAATTTTTTTTGTAGAATCGGGGTTTCGCCATGTTGCCCCATCCCACTACTTTTCATATAAAAATGGTGATGTCATATTTGCTGTGAAAATGGTCTTATTTTGAATCAAGAACCTACCTCAGGTTATTACAAATTGATGTGATGTATTAACAAGATGACAAAATATTACCTCTCTCAAATTATGTAAGTAAAATGGAGACCTAGAGTATAAGACACTCCCTTCTCATTAAAATTTAGCATCATACATTTCATGTATTTTAAACTTGTGTGATCCTTTGCCTTTTATGGGCACCACTCTATTAAAGAATCAGAAATCAAGATTTCCTCCTGTTGTTGGTGGCCTCTGTTAAAAACTCTGCTAGAAATGTATCAATAAGAATAAAGATTCATGAAAAAAAATCTCTTAAAAACATCCCTTAATTGCATCAAAGCCAAGATACTGAAGAATGAAAAAATAATACTAACTTCATGTAACAAGAAACAAACAACTATGAGTGCTTTCAAGTCCAAGTTCAACTGGTTCATTTTGTAAAGGAGCATTTAAGTGTCATGGATAAATAATACATCTTTTAAGAATGCATTACATCTTTTTGAGAATGAATCTGGGACTTGATCCTGGAATTCTGGATTCCCTGTTCTGCATTTTAATTTATTTTTATTTATTCATTTTTTAGGGACACGTTCTTGCTCTGTTGCCCAGGCTGAAATGCAGTGGTGTGATCATAGCCCAGTGCCACCTTGAACTCCCGTGCTCAAGTGATCCTCATGCCTAAACCTCTCAGGTAGCTGAGATTATAGGCACATGCCACCTAGCTCAGCTAATTTTAAATTTTTTTGTTGTAGAGATGGGGTCTTTCTATGTTTCCCAGGCTTGTTCAGCCATGAACCCCAGAATTGCAAAACTGCTGTTAAGTCAGTATTTGAGTATGTCTGCTCTAGTAAATTTGCAATGAGATTTCCATTCCTTTTCTGCCACGTGGCCTCATCTGTTTAAATTACCTGGGTCAACTAAGAAGTATCTATGAAGTTTATCTTCAAAGGCAAATTTTTCTGTAGTGGCACTGGTAATGCCTAGCCTGCATAAGATTTTGGCGCTTGGAAGCTTCTTCTGTGTGGTAACCTGGGCCAAGGCATTCGAGTGATCAATGAGAATTTCATAAGGAAAAGTGTGCTTGGGAGGGGGGATCCCACACTGTGACAGCCTCTGCTGGGACCTGGAGAGCCTCTCCACTGGAGACAGTGAGCCCTCCAGTAAGGTGCGGTGGAGCAGCTCAGTCATGGATGCTGGCTTCTTCTCTTTTTTAACCACTGTGCACCTGCTAACAGGTTGGCGATCTCTTCTCACATCAGTGCCCTTGGTCAATGACAGAACATTCAGGTTTTTAGCAAGTGCTTCCTGTGCTTTGTTAAGTGAAATACTATGTATTTTTAGAAGATTTGATTTCTTGCTCTCCTTATTAAAATGTTCAATACATGCATATAATTCTGGCAGCTGTGGACAAAAAAAAAGTGGCAAGTCATGAGACTGACAAAAATGTAATATTTGGGCAGACCCACAAACCCTAGAAAAAATAACAAATAACCATAGGACAATGGATAACCATAAAAACAAAAGCATTTTTATCTTTGGAACATATCTTTGCCTAACTAAACCAAGTCAACTGTGGCAATGTGGAATAGAGAACAGAGAGGTCAAATCTCAGATTCATTCCCATAAAGATGTATTATCAGACACGTCTTATAAACACTTGTCATAAAATTGAGCAGTTAGAATTGAACTCAGAAGTCTTGAAGTCATCTTTCCGACTCTAAAATTCTATGAGTGACCATGCAGAGAAATAGCTGTGGGAGATGGTGGCCTTTGCTTGCTTTGAACAATGCTACACTTCTTTGAAGGAAGAAAGGGAACCAGATCACTTAGATATCAAAGCTTCTTCCTGGTGTTCAAAGAACCCAGAATGTTCAGGAATCCAGTGCTGAGGAGGCTGTAATAGTCATTGCTTACTAAAATGTTTGACCAGAGCAAATGGTTGCATTCATGGAGTGTCTGGGAATAGTCATTGGCAGAAAAAACAGTAAGAGATCCCGGAGAGGACCTGTCCCCATCTAAAATCCTATACTGCCTACAAATCCCATCATTTCTAAGAGGTTTCTTAGGCTATTACATTGGAAAACCAAAGAGGCCACAGTCTCAGGTTAGAACCAAAATTTAGGTTGTTTAGCCCAATACAGAGTTTTCTTTCAATCCTAGTCAATGTTACTGCAAAGGCAAGAAATAGAAAGTGAGGCCGGGTGCAGTGGCTCACACCTGTAATCCTAGCACTCTGGGAGGCCGAGGCAGGTGGATCACCTGAGGTCAGGAGTTCAAGACCAGCCAGACCGACATGGTGAAACGTGTAAAATTAAAAAATTAATTTTTTTAATTAAAAAAAAAAAAAGAAAGTGAGCTAACATGTGTGAAAGCAGAAGGGATTCTGGATGTCTTCCAAAATGTTGAGAGCTTGTGGCTATAGAGGCTACTCATGGTCCAGACCCTGGAACCAGTATGAGTTCTGCTACAAGGTGGTGCAGGAATATATTAATGCATTCTCAGTTACGCCAACTTCAAGTAAAAGGTGATAAGTGCCCGTGGACCAGGAGGATTGCCTTTAATTTTTTATGATAGTCTGTTTTGTTAGTTTACCCCAAATTGTGTATCTATCTTGTAACTGTTTTAGGAATTGGTACATAAGTGGAGATTTTATGTGTAAATGTGTTAGCACTGATCATCTTTTTTCCAATGTTTTATTGGGGAGTTAAATAGTGTGATGTTTGGACTGATATCATGAAATCCTCAACCTGGAAATTGGGCTCAATTATTCTTTGGTTAACGCACCTTTTCCTAAAGAAAGAAAAAAAAAAAGAAAGAAAGTACGCTAACAGTGGTGAATGGTGCTTTAAAACCAATTATATAACCAAACTATCATGAAAACAGTTCAACACTTCTGCTCATCTGCCCTGGGAAGAGCTACATTTGTCTGTGACTAAGAATGTTAAGTCACTAAAGTGACATTTTGGTGTTTCCTATGGCTCCCCAAGTATGTCATTGTGAGTTCAATATTTTGAATGTTTATGATTCTTGAATGTAAAGCTCCCTGTGTATACTCCATCATACAATGTTAAGCACATACCGAACATTGAAGAAGGGCAGCCCCTCTGCCGTCCTCAGCTGGACTGGTGTCTCCGTTGAGGAACATCATGCTGAGATTTTATTCTCTAATTCCTAAAAATGCAATATAAGAAAAGATAAAAACCAAAGATCAAAACCAGATAAAATATAAAAGAAAGGTGATACTTCTTAAATCTTCAGAAATTTGTGAGTGGGACATTTTGAATATTTTATACCTATATTAGTCCATTCTTGAATTGCTATAAATAACTATCTGAAACTGGGTAATTTGTAAGAATATAGGTTTCATCGGCTCATGGTCCTTCAGGCTGTCCAGGAAGCATGATTGGGGAGGCCTCAGGAAACGTACAATTATTGGGGGAAGGCAAAGGAGAAGTAGGCACGTCTTATATGGCCAGGACAGGAGAAAGAGCGAAGTGGGCGGTGCCACACACTTTTAAACAACCAGGTCTCATGAGAACTCACAATCATGAGAACAGCAAGGGGGAAATTCTCCATGATCCAATCACTTCCCAGGCCCTATCTCCAACACGGGATAACAATTCGACGTGAGATTTGGATGGGGACACAAATCCAACGCATATCAATACAATTTAAATTTTTCATTTGCTTTTTCCTAGTTTAGGTCTGCCAAATTTGTCACATTTCAACTGAACATTTCTCTGAAATATCCAAATTCTTCTACAACATGTGTATTTAGTTTTAATACTAGTTTAATGAATCCTATATGGATGGTTGTATTTTTTATTTTATATATATATTTTTTGAGATGGAGTTTTGCTCCTGTTGCCCAGGCTGGAGTGCAATGGCAGGATCTCAGCTCACCACAACCTCCGCCTCCTGGGTTCTAGAGATTCTCCTGCCTCAGCCTCCCAAGTAGCTGGGATTACAGACATGTGCCACCATGCCCGGCTAATTTTGTGTTTTTAACAGAGATGGGGTTTCACCATGTTGGCCAGGCTGGTCTCAAACTCCTGATCTCAAGTGATCTACCCGCCTCGGCCTCCCAAAGTGCTGGGATTACAGACATGAGCCACCACGCCCAGCCAGATGGTTTTATTTTTTTGTCTTAGATATTCTGATCAACTTTCAATTCATGTAAAGAAAAACTCACCCACCTCCTTATCCACAAAACATATTTTTTATTCAGAAGGAAAAGGCTCATATGTAATAATAATAAAAACAATAAACATTTCGAAAATAACTTGCTTTGTGCCAGATACACTATAAGGCATTTTACAGGTGGAATTGTGTTTAATTACTCTGTGAGAGATTTAAAATGGCCACAGAATAGTCACAATTCATCTCATTGATAAGTGGCAGTTAAGTTCTCTCCCACATTTGACTGTGCTGACCTATGCTTGGCTTTGACCAATAGCTGGCCTATGCTTGGCATTTTGTCAGTGACAGTGTGAATGCTGGAATACAGGCCTTAAAAGCTTTGCAGCTTTCCTATACATTCTTGGGAGCCTGAGCCACCATGTAAAGAGAACTGGCTGCACATCTGGAGAGACCACGCAGACTCAGACACCAGCACCAACCAATAGACATGTAGAGGAAGCCATCTTGGTTCACCCCGGGCCCCAGATAAGCCTCTAGATGACTACAGCAGCATAAGCAACCTCAGCAGATCCCAAATGGAGAAGAACCACCTCTCAGCTGAGCAAGGCAACTCTAAAATTTTGACAAATAGTAAATTACTGTTGTTTCAAGCCACTAAGCTTTGGGTGAATTGTTATATAGCAATAAATACAGATAAACTCCATAATACTTCACATTCTTGGTTTAATTTATTCCACTGAAACCCTTATTGGTAGGTAAGGGAATGTATGGAGGGAAAATATGTTTCTAAGTACAGGGTACCACTGTATCCTGACCGGCAGCTGTGGTCACTGGGATGAGTGCCTGAGATGAACCAAAAGCACTCACTTGGTAGTTGGGATGAAGTGAAAACAACTATGTTTCTCCTTCCTGAGCAAAGTAGAAAAATCCAGAATGGACCCCCCCACACACACACGTGGAGATATACACACACGCGCCCCCCCCCACACACACACACATATTCTCCAAATATATATCTATATATTCTCCAAATACATTTTTGTCACTATTAGTCATTACTGAGATCACTATATTGACATGCAGGACTAAAGTGATACAGTGTAGCATGCCTGCCACAGACCTTTTTCTCCCTAGGCAGTTAAAGTAAGACTTGATTGTGCTTTCCTTCTGCAAAGGAAAGAAATGGTTCCTGCAAAGGAAAATGTTTCTCTAATGTGCTTTATCTAAAATCTCTCAATGCCTTCTAGTCAACTACTAGTATTGCCTTTCAGACAACTTCAGAGGGCAGGAAGCCTGCCCTCTCCCATCACCAAGGGTTAATATATATTCTCCCTTCCCTCAGAGGGGGGAAAGATTTAACCTCTCTCCACTCTCCCCTCCTTTCTCTCTTTCCTTGCCACCTCCCAATTTTAATCAGCAGTGCCAATTCAAGTAGACAATATCCAACCTCAATGGCCAATCTTGCAACTCTCTATACAGAGAGTCAAAGCAATAGCTAAGAATTATGTCCTCATTTTATTAGTAGTATTGATGACAGGGAACGGAGCACAAAGAAGTTTAGATTCTTGCTAATCCTCTTTGCTAAACTACCTTTGGGAGCATCTCCCTCTCACTGAAGTGTCAGGATTCTGAATGCTGAAACAGATCACTAGCCAAAAATGCTTTTATACATTTAAATGCTGACTCCACTAGCAAATTTTTAACGTCAGTCTTTTTGTTTGATCCAAGTCAATACCTAAATCTAGATTAGCCCTTTGATCCAATCCCTCATGGAGAGTGTTCCTGGAGAAGTCATGGAAATATGGCCAACGGGCTTGTTTACAGATTCCTGCAAGTAAAGTGGAGCTCTTGCAGGGGCTCTGTGGCACTTTTCTTCATTGTTATTCCCAGAAATTCCCAGAGTAAATTTGCATTTTACTGTGAAGGGCAAGGACATCTCACAGGAACTCCCAAGGGTGGTATCCTCTTCTCCACTTGCACTCCCAACTTTTCACCCTTTCCTCCAAAGGAGAAGAAAAAAGTTCTCTCTGCTCGACTAATGTTAATTTTCTCTCTCTCTCCTACCTAGCGTGATATATTTTATCCTCCTCATAATTCTTTTTTTTGGGGGGGGGGCGGGGACAGAGTCTTGCTCTGTCACCTAGGCTGGAGTGCAGTGGCACGATCTCGGCTCACTGCAACCTCTGCTTCCTGGGTTCAAGCCATTCTCCTGCCTCAGCCTCCCAAGTAGCTGGGACTACAGGCATGTGCCACCACACCCGGCTAATTTTGTATAAAATACAAAATTAGGGGGCCCAGCCAGCGCTTGCGCGGTGGCGCGGGCGAGTGGTGGGAGCGAGGAGGCGGAGGAGGCGGAGGAGGAGGAGGCGGCGGCGGCGGCGGCGGTGAGAAGATGGCGATTTCGAACAATCCGCGGAAATTCATCGAGAAGATCGCGCTGCACAATCAGAAGCAGGCGGAGGAGACAGCGGCCTTCGAGGAGGTCATGAAGGACCTGAGCCTGACGCGGGCCGCGCGGCTCCAGCTCCAGAAATCCCAGTACCTGCAACTGGGCCCGAGCCGCGACCAGTACTACGGCGGGTCCTTGCTCAATGTGAACCAGATTGGGAGTGGCATCATGCACCTGCCCTTCCAGACCCCCTTCCAATCCTCGGGTCTGGACACCGGCCGGACCACCCGACACCACGGGCTGGTGGACAGGGTGTACCGGGAGCGTGGCCGGCTCGGCTCCCCGCACAGCCGGCCCCTGTCAGTGGACAAACACGGACGGCAGGCCGACAGCTGCCCCTACGGCACGGTGTACCTCCGGCCACCCGCGGACACCAGCTGGAGGAGGACCAATTCTGACTCCGCACTGCACCAGAGCACAATGACGCCCACACAGCCAGAATCCTTTACCAGTGGGTCCCAGGACGTGAACCAGAAAAAAGTCTTACTGTTAACAGTCCCAGGAATGGAAGAGACCACATCAGAGGCAGACAAAAACCTTTCCAAGCAAGAGTGGGACACCAAGAAGACGGGGTCCAGGCCCAAGTCCTGTGAGGTCCCCAGAATCAACATCTTCCCATCTGCCGACCAGGAAAACACTACAGCCCTGATCCAGGCTACCCACAACACTGGGGGCTCCCTGCCCGACCTGACCAACATCCACTTCCCCTCCCCGCTCCCGATCCCGCTGGACCCCGAGGAGCCCACCTTCCCCGCGCTGAGCAGCTCCAGCAGCACCGGCAGCCTCGCGGCCAACCTGATGCACCTGGGCATCGGCGGCGCCGGCCAGGGAATGAGCACACCTGGGTCCTCTCCGCAGCACCACCCAGCCGGCGTCAGCCCCCTGTCCCTGAGCACAGAGGCGAGGCGTCAGCAAACATCGCCCACCCTGTCCCCGCTGTCACCCATCACTCAGGCCGTGGCCATGGATGCCCTGTCTCTGGAGCAGCAGCTGCTCTACGCCTTCTTCACCCAGGCGGGCTCCCAGCAGCCGCCGCCGCAGCCCCAGCCCCCGCCGCCCCCTCCGCCAGCGTCACAGCAGCCGCCGCCCCCACCACCCCCGCAGGCGTCCGTCCGCCTGCCCCCCGGCGGCCCCCTGTTGCCCAGCGCCAGCCTGGCTCGTGGGCCACAGCCACCCCCCATCGCGGTCACGGTACCGTTCTCTCTCCCCCAGCGCCCCCCAGAGAACCCCGGCCAGCCGTCGATGGGGATCGACACCGCGTCGGCGCCGGCTCTGCAGCAGTGCCGCACGCGCGCCTGCTCCCCGGCCAACCAGTCTCCCACCTCGCCAGCCTCCAATCAAGGCTTCTCCCCGGGGAGCTCCCCGCAGCACACTTCCACCCTGGGCAGCGCGTTTGGGGACGCGTACTATGAGCAGCTGATGGCGGCCAGGCAGGCCAACGCTCCGTCCCACCAGCTGGAGCGGTTCAGCACGATGGAGAACGCCATCAGCTCCAGCAGCCTGTACGGCCCCGGCTCCACGCTCAACGACTCGCAGGCGGCCATGATGGGCCTCACCGGCAGCCACGGGAGCCTGCCGGACTCGCTGCAGCTGCGCTACGCCGGCCACAGCGGCGTCCCCAACATCATCCTCACGGTGACAGGAGAGTCCCCCCCCAGCCTCTCTAAAGAACTGACCAGCTCTCTGGCCGGGGTCGGCGACGTCAGCTTCGACTCCGACAGCCAGTTTCCCCTGGATGAACTCAAGATCGACCCCCTGACCCTCGACGGCCTGCACATGCTCTACGACCCCGACATGGTTCTGGCCGACCCGGCCACCGAGGACGCCTTCCGGATGGACCGTCTGTGAGCGGGCACGCCCGGCGTCCTGCGGTTCAGCCGTCCTGACGGCGCCCCCCCAGCCCGGGGCCGACCGCGCTCCGTCCCTCGCCCCAACTGCTGAGCTTGTGATTCCGAGCTTGCAACGCCCCCCGCCGGCCCGCCCCCGGTTTTCCACCTCCCGCGAAGCCCAATCACGAGGCCGCGAGCTGGGCCTTCCACCCGCGCGCCCGGGGCAGGGCTGGGATAGGAGGTCATGAGCCCCCCGCCCCCGCAGACCCTCCCTGCATGGGCTCCCTTGCCCCCAGCCCCGGGGCCTGAGCTGTCGTCCCCTGTAAGATGCGGGAAGTGTCGGCTCCTGGCGTGGCGGGCAGGCTCAGGGGAGGGGTGCGCATGGTCCACCAGCGCTGTGGGCCGCGGTGCATTTTCCGACTGTTTGCCCAGCTCTCACTGCCTTCCTCGGTTTCCGGTCCCCCAACCCATCCGCCACCCCCAGCCCGTGGTCAGATGAGAGTGAGCCCCACACGCTGCCCCAGGGAGGAGGCGCCAGAGCACTGGGCAGACACAAAGTGAAATAAACACTATTTTAACGGGAAAAAAATGTTTTAATTTAATTGTCAAGATTATTCCAGGGCAGTTCATTTCCAATCATATCTCTCCAGTTCTTGCTCCTAAGTGGCACAAGCCAAGAAGATCATTTCAGTTTATTCTCAAATTTGCGCTGGATCTTTCATGCACTCCCCAATTTGGCCAATGCAGAGGGAGGCGATTCTGCTGCATTCACAGCAGCAAATCGTCGTTTAAGTCCAACAAACTAGTCAATCTTGGTCGGCTGGCACCGAATGAACCCATCTCGCTCTGGGTCCCCAGGTGCAGAATCGACGTGTGATCTTAACTAACTCACAGACCGCTTCTTCGCTCCAGTGTTCAGTTCCTCCAGGCTTCAGCCGAGAGGACGTCTGCAGTCATAAGGCCACTCGGATGCAGTGGTGCTTGAGTTTGCAAGGCAGGGCTCCTTTGTTCAGCTGGTAGAAGTCGACCGGCTGGATCGGGTCAGAGAATTTGGTGTTCGCGTCATCTAGGCTGAAGAACATCTGCCCGTTGTCCTCGCAAGGTAAGATCTGGAAATTTTTAATTTTCTGGTGATGACACAGTGTGAGTACAAATGCCTTTGGATTACTCTGGCTGTCACGGAGGAGAAAAAGCCCGTCCACGAGCCCTTGCTGTTTAATGATCCTGTGGGATTCCTCCCTGGAGATCCTCCCGTGAAACCAGTGCTGTGTCCTGTGAATCACTGTACTTAGGGTAGAAGGGTGGAGGGGACTTTGGCTACCTAGAATGTTCAGCCATGTGCTTCGCTTCTGCCAGGCGTGGCCTGCTTCTGGGTCTGCACTCTGGGCCTCCGCCGGATTCTCTATCACGCCTCCTGTTGGCCCAGAAAAATCCATCGCCACGAGGGAGATCTCGGAGACACTGCGCAGTGGCGTTGAGAATGGGGACAGCAAGGCCTTCCTCTGCTGAGGGATTCGGTAGTTCTGGTAAAGGAGCATTCCATACTTGAGGAGTCTGAACGCCGTCATCCAGCATGCCCTGCTTTGCTCATCCTCTGCACAGAGCAACCTCAGCTCTTTAGTTTCATTCCTGACTTTGGCTTTATGCAGAGCCCGTGGTCTGTGGGGGCGCTGTACTGCTTCCTGCCAGCGATCAAGGAGAAGATGTTGCGGTCCTCCAGGTCTGCCAGCAGCTGCAGGTGACTGGGTTCCTTTGAAGTTCCCTTTGTGAAGCAATAAAGGCCAGATCTCCATAAACATACATATAGCTTTTTCCATGATTTCTTTCCCAGCTCTTTCACATGCAAAAATCCTTGACTTTCAGGACAGCTACTGGAGTTCAGAAAATTCTGCAAAAGCTGGCTTTGACTGCCATTTGACTGCTGGCACCAAGTAACCGTCTGTTCTGGGAAGAAATTCATTGGATTTTTAAAGAACCGTATTTGCATAATTTTTCCTGAATAGAAATTTACTCTCACTGGCCATGGTACTCTCCACCTGGACCACCAGTTCATGGTCTTCCAAACACCTCCTCTCCAATCCTAGGTGCGGGTGGTGCTCCACTAGTGTCCAGCTGTTGTCATCCACATAGTGACTTTTGTAAACCAGCAACTGGCACAGGTCCCTGGCTGTCATGTCTGCTAGAATCTCCACCACTTGGCTCATCCCATCTTCACTAAAGACTTTAACATCCTGCTTTGCGGCAGCCTGGCTCAGAGGCAAAGAAGCCCTTGTGAGCACAGGGGGGCTCCCAGGACCACAGAGTTTGGGAAAAGGATTGGGGATGGCCAGTAGGGACGAGGTTCTAAACTGCTGCTCTTCCTCCTGAAGGTGCCTGACAGCGAGGATGTATACAGGCTGGGAGCACTGCACCCTCTGCCTCGGGGATGCCTGAGGCTGGACAGACTGAGTACCTGAGGCCCGAGGCTGGCTGTGGGCATGCTGACCATTCTGCAGGAGGGGCACCATGTCCAGCTGCATGCTATCCAGGGATGCGTTCATATCGTTCACCAGGGCTTCCAGGTCCACATCATCCTCCTGGTGATTCACGAGTTGGTCACGTGAGCCCTGGTCCTGCCGGGTCTTGTTGACTGCAAGGTGTCTGCTCCAGTTTGTCCTAGTAGTATGGATGGTACAAAAAGGAATCTGGGCAGCCGGCTAAAGCCATGGGTTCCTTCTGCCTTCTTCAAATTACATTTATTGCACTGGAGCACCTGTCAGGAGACGGCTGAGTAGCTTTGTCTGCTGGGGTGGCCACCCTGGCTTCACTGAGAGGACCCAGGTGAAGACCTGGCTGCCAGTCACTGGGCTGATGGTCACTGAGCCGCCAGTCACTGGGCCTGCGGCTGCTGCTTCCTGCTCAGCATCGTCGTCAGCGCCAAAAATGGGGTTTCACCATGTTGGCCAGGCTGGTCTCAAACTCCTGACTTCAAGTGATCCACCCGCCTTGGCCTCCCAGAGTGCTGGGATTACAGGCATGAGCCACTGCACCCAGACCCCCTCCTCATAACTCTTGTGGAATATTTCCCCTCAGTTGTCCTCCCTTCCCTTCAAACAACTCTTTTCTTCCTTCTTGCTTCTCTACCATTCTCTTATCTGCAGTCTAATGTTCCCCAATGACTCCTTCCTTTCTGTGCAAATACGTAAAATGTTTTTCACTTGGGGTAACAATACACCTTACCTTCTCTTGACCGTGATCCTACCACTAACTCTGGACCCTTGTCTCTTCTTTACCTCTGAACTTGCTACATTTATATTTTCATCATGTATTCTTCAGTATAATGACATTTATCTTCCACCTGGCTGATGAAATAAAATTGAATTCTTACAAGCAATAGCAACTTCTTAATTATCAATTCTAGTGTAGTTTTTACAAGACTCACTTTTCTTTTTTTTCTTTTTTGAGATGGAGTCACACTCTGTTGCCCAGGCTGGAGTGCAGTGGAGACGTCTCAGCTCACTGCACCCTCTGCCTCCTGGGCTCAAGCAATTCTCCTGCCTCAGCCTCCTTAGTTGCTGGAATTACAGGCATGTGCTACCATGTCTGGCTAATTTTTATATTTTTAGTAGAGATGGGATTTCGCCATGTTGGCCAGGCTGGTCTCAAACTCCTGATCTCAGGTGATCTACCTGCCTCAGCCTCCCACAGTGCTGGGATTACAGATGTGACTCACTTCGCTGGGCCAATTTATCAATTTCTTGACCAGACTTACAAAGACTATCCACAATCTTCCCCCAACACTTGTCTATCATTTAAAAATATCATATTTCAGTGCTACCACAATGCCATAAATGTTTTCTATACTTTAGCCAGCTGGGCTTGTTTCTGAAACAATTTTCTGTGCTTCTGTGCATTCTTTCTTTGAGCCTATGCTCACTCTGATACCCCATTTAGTCAGACAGAATGTCCTTCCTTCTGTTTTATGACAATCTAAATAAAAACATGATAGAACTGAAGCTGAAATGGAGAGAAACACAATGTTGAACAGCTATCGTGTCATATAAAAGGAATTAACAGGAAATGAAATAAAGGTTAAAAATTATTTAGAGAGAACCCAATTATGGTGAATTGATTTTCTGACAAAGCTGCCAAAACAATTCAATGGAGGAAAATAGTATTTTCAATAAATGGTGCTGGGACAATTCAATAACTACACATAGAAGAATGAAGTTAGACCCCTATCTCAATCCTTACACAAAATGAACTTAAAAGAGTTGAAACTATAAAACTCCTAGAGTAAAATATAGTGGTAAATTTTTGTGACCCTGGGTTAGACAATGGTTTCTTGGCTATAACACCAAAGCATAAACTACAGAAGAAAAGAGTAAATAAGTTAGACTTCATCACAATTAAAAACTTTTGTGCTTTAGTAAAAATAGTGAAAACACCAATCACAGAATCAGAGAAAATGTTTACAAATCATACATCTGGCAAGGAACTTGTATACAAATGTAAAAAAACACTTAGAAATCAACAATTAAGGCTGGGCGCGGTGGCTCACGCCTGTAATCCCAGCACTTTGGGAGGATGAGGCGGGTGGATCATGAGGTCAGGAGTTCAAGATCATCCTGACCAATATGGTGAAACCCCATCTCTACTAAAGATACCAAAAAATTAGCCAGGCATGGTGATGGGTGCCTGCAATTCTAGCTACTTGGGAGGCTGAGGCAGGAGAATCGCTTGAACCGAGGAGGCAGAGATTGCAGTGAGCTGAGATTGCGCCATTGCACTCCAGCTGGGCAACCAGGCAAGACTCTGTCTCCAAAAAAAAAAAAAGAAAAGAAATCAACAATTAAAAGACAACCCAATTTAAATATGGGGCAAAGGGACTTCTAGTGTGGTTTCTCCTCTGACATGCAAGGAGCTTGGAAGGCACCGGAAACCCTTCTTAGATCTGGCAGAGAAGTAAGGTCACAGGGCAAATTCCTGCCCTAAAATTGCAGAGACAGACAGGCAAATCCAGGGAATCGCAGCTTACTGAAGTAGAAAGCTCCCTGAGAACAGGGCAGAAACCTCCAGAAGAGCAAGAAGAAACCTAGAGAAATCATGTTTGGCTTTCAACAAAAAATTATAAAGCAAAAAACAGACTTTGAAGAGACAAAGCAAGCATCAGAACTAGATTCAGATATGGCAGGGATGCTGGATTACAAGACTGTGAATTTAAAACAGCCATAATGAATGTGCTAAGGGCTCTCATAGGAAATGTAGACAGCATGCAAGAACAGACAGATGATGTAAGTGGGAGATGGGAATTCGAAGAAAGAATCAAAAAGAAACGCTAAAGGTCAAAAACACCATCACAGAAATGCAGAATGCCATTGATGGACTCATTAGTAGACTGGCTATGGCTGAGGACAGAATGTCTGAGCTTGAGGATTTCTCAACAGAACCTTCCAAATCCGAAAAGTAAAGAGAAAAAAACACTGGAAAAAAAAATGGTAACAGAATATCCAAGAACTCTGGGACAATTACAAAAGGTATAACATATGCATAATGAGAATGCCAGGAGAAGAAAGAAATAGAAGCAACATTTGAAGCAATAATGATTTAAAAGTCCCCCAAATTAATGTTGTACACCAAACCACAGATCCAAGAAGCTCAGAGAACATAAGACAGGTTAAATGCCTTTAAAAAAAAAAACAAAAAAGTTAACATTGGTATATCATATTCATACTGCAGAAAACTGAAGATAAAAAAAAAATCTTGAAAGAAGCCACAGGAAGATTAGAATTCTTCTTTGCTATAAATAGAAAGATAAGAATTACCTCTTCCTTCTTCCCAAAAAGCATGCAAAGAATCAGAGAATGGAATGAAATAAAGTGTTGAGAGGAAAAAACCCACCAACCTAGAATTCTGTATTCTGTGAAATTATCCTTCAAAAGTAAAAGAGAGGGCTGAGTGTGGTGACTCACGTCTGTAATCCCAGCACTTTGGGAGGCTGAGGCCCGTGGATCACGAGGTCAGGAGTTCAAAACCAGCCTGGCCAACATGGTGAAATCCCATCGCTACTAAAAATACAAAACATTAGCCAGTGTAGTGGCACGTGCCTGTAATCCTAGCTACTCAGGACACGGAGGCAGGAGAATAGCTTGAACCCAGGAGGTGGAGGTTGCAGTGAGCCAAGATTGCACAATTGCACTTCAGCCTGGGTGACAGGGTGAGACTCCATCTCAAAAAAAAAAAAAAAAAGTAAAAGAGAGATACTTTCTCATTCAAACAAACATTGAGGGAATGTGTTGCCAGTAGACCTGCCTGGAGAAATGTTAAAGAAGTTCTTCAGAGAGAAGGAAAATTATGTAGGTAAGAAACTCGGATCTACATAATGAAGTGAAAAGTATTAGAGAAGGAGTAAATGAAGATTAAAATAAAAATGTTTATTTTTCTTATTCTTTTTTTTCTCTCCCTCCCCTCCTATTTTTCTTATTCTTGATTGATCAAACAGATAACAGTTTGTTCAAAACAATAATAGCAGGCCGGGCGCGGTGGCTCATGCCTGTAATCCCAGCACTTTGGGAGGCCGAGGCGGGTGGATCACTTGAACCTAGGAGTGTGAGGCCAGCCTGCTCAACATTGGGAGACCCCATCTCTAAATAAAAAACAAAACAAAACAAAATATAATAGCAAAAATGCATTCAAACCATTACAGCTTATTATAAAATGAAACAAATGACAACAATGATACAAAGAACAAGAGGGAATAATTAGGAGTATCTTGTTATTATAAGGTACTCACATTGCCTGCAAGGTGTTATAGTGTAATTTGAAAGTGGACTTGAGTTAGTCATAAACATATATTGCAAACTCCAGGGAAACCACTAAAAAAGTAAAAAAGAGATATAATTAATATGCTAAGAAAGGAGAAAAAAATGAATCGTATAAAATGCTCAATTAAAATTACAAAAGGCATAAAATGTGGAAGACAAAAATAAGAACAAGGAGCAAGGGCAACAAATAAAAAATAGTAAAACGTTTGGTAAATATGAATACAAACACATCACAATGACTTTTAATGTCAATGGTCTAAATATGCTAATTAGAAATAGAGAGTATCAGAGTATCAGAGTGGACCAAAAAGAAGATCCACCTAATTATATGTTGTCTAAAGAAACACACTTTGTTATTTACTTTTTTTTAATGAGATGGGGTCTCATTACGCTGCCCAGGCTAGTTTCAAACTCCTTAGGCTTAAGCAATCCTGCGTTAGCCTCCCAAATAGGTGGGACTACAGGTGTGTGCCACTGTCCCTGGCCAGAAACACACTTCAGTATAAGAACTCTTATAGATCAAAAGTAAAGAGATAGAGAAAGAGATTATCCTCATTAAAAGAATACAGGTATAGCTATATTAATTTTAGACAGAGCAGACTTCAGAGCAAGAATGTTTATCAGGGATAAGGAGGGGCTTTACACAATGATAAAGGGGTCAATATATAACAATTTGTAACATGAATGCACCTAACAACAAAGTGTCAAAACATGTGAGGCAAGCCAGGTGTGGTAGCTCATGCTTGTAATTCCAGCACTTTGGGAGGCTGAGGCAGAGGGATCACCTGAGGTCAGGCATTCGAGATGAGCCTGGCCAACATGGCGAAACCCAATCTCTACTAAAAACACACAAAAAAATTAGCTGGATGTGGTGGTGGGTGCCTGTGGTTAGTCCCAGCTATTCGGGAGATTAAGGTAGGAGAATTGCTGGAACCTCAGAGGCAGAGGTTGCAGTGAGCAGAGATCACACCACTGCACTCCAGCTTGGGCGATAGAGAGAGACTCCATCTCAAAAAATAAACAAACAAACAAAAAACCCAAAACAAACCATGTGAAGCAAAAACTGATAGAGCTACAAGGAGCAATAGATGGATCTTTACCATCCTTCTACTGAAAACGGACAGATCCAGCAGGCAGACTGTCAGTAAGGACATAGTTGAACTCAACAGCACCATCAATCAACTGGATATAATTGACATCCATAGACTATTACTCCATCCAGCAATGGCAGATTACACATTCTTCTAAGATCAAGTTCATATGGGACATTCACCAAGATAGACCAGACTCTGGGCCAGGGAACACACATGAATTAATTTAAAAGAATAGAAAAACAGGCCGGGCGCTGTGGCTCAAGCCTGTAATCCCAGCACTTTGGGAGGCCGAGGTGCAAGAGATCGAGACCATCCTGGTCAACACGGTGAAACCCCGTCTCTACTAAAAATACAAAAAATTAGCTGGGCATGGTGGCGCGTGCCTGTAATCCCAGCTACTCAGGA